TAACCATACGAGTGGCCCTTCTCTGGACCCTCTCCAGGTTCTCCACATCCTTCCTGAAGTGCGGCACCCAAAATTGCACGCAGCACTCCAACTGCGGTCTGACCAGCGCCTGATAGAGGGGAAGTATCATCTCCTTGGCTCCGTTTGTCATGCATCTGCTGATGCACGATAAAGTGTAGTGAGCTTTGCTGATGACTTCGTCACACTGCCGACTCATGTTCATCTTGGAGTCCACTAGGACTCCGAGATCCCTTTCCGCTTCTGTGCTGCTGAGCAGTTCATTTCCTAGGCAGGGGTAAAACAACTTAAAATGGTTGTGTGAAAAAAAACAAACGAACCCTTTTCATCTGCCTCCCTGCTCTGAGTCTTCCCAGCCCCTCTCTGTCTTCAGACTCTGGCTGCTGGATCCACCTGGCCAAGCTAAATGACTGGGTTGTAATAATTGCATAGGGAGAGGGAAGCTCGCTCTTCCTTTGTTCTGAGTTTCCCACCGAACAACCTGTGTGATCCTGATCCCTTCACCTGAGGATGCTGATGACTTTTAAAAGGATTGGTCTGCATCATATAGTCCCTATTTTTGGTTGGAACTTAGTGATGAGGTCAAAAAGGTTATAAAAGGGGTCACTCCGTCTTGGGGGAGGTCAGTCATTTTGGGACACTGAAACAAGCAAAAAGCTTCCGGAGTTGCATCAGTCTCTGGATGAGCATGTGGCTAACTTACTTGAAATTTAGCCAGGAATTTAGGGTCATGTAACTTTAGCCGCGTGTTACAAAAGGCCAACAAGCCCATTCTGTTTTGCTCAAGGTGTTTTGCTTTCAATACTCCTATGTCATGTACCCCTTCCTCATCTTCTCCCTCCGTAACCAATAAAGCTACCTGCTACAGCATGCCTCTCTGTGGATGCTAAAGAGGGAGAGACTAGCCTTTATTAGTTCCCTTCCCTGAGCTAGCTAAAGGGGGCATGGCTTTTTACTTTCCTCCAGTACAGGAGGCTACTTGTGAATGCTTCAGACTAAAAGAAGCACCCCAAAATACCACGGTGGGCTGAGCACCCCCAAGGTCTGCAAGGTCTATGTACTAGGGACCAAGGCCTGGGTGGTGGCAGTGATTCCCTTAGGCTTTCAGGTGTGCTCCAGGAAGGGGGATGGTCAGAAGTCGGTACCCCAGGGGAGACACCCAAGGCGGGTTTTAGTTGGGCACAGTGAGGCAGTGGCTCAGCATAGTAGCACCCCTTTTTGTCCCACCACAGGTTGAATATGTAACTGGGTTGTCAAACTCCACAGCTGCAATGGAGGAAGAATAGCTTAGTCAGGGATGATCTTGACTTGAATGTGTGCCTGGACTAGATGACATCATGAAGTCCCTTCTATCCCTATTTTCCTACAGTCCTATGAAACACATCACTTTGGAGTAGGTGCTATATCTCTGAACAGAGGGCCAACTCCAGGAATTTACAGTATTCAAAAGCTGTTAATGTCTTGAAATAAGAGGAGACTCAGGCCCCTTTGGTTCCTATTAGCGCTGTGCAAACTTCCTATACACAGGTGAATTTTGGCAATGTTACATATATTTTAGTCCTCAAGCTAAAGTGATAGTTTTTCTTCCTAGAGGGCTGTAGTTACAAAATCTCTAAGCTACAAGAAATAATTAAAAGGCTTTGAACTTGACTATGTTTTCCTGCCCTAAATATTATTTCCTTGCAGTTTAGAAGTAATTACCTTCTTTCAATTATTAAGTACGTCTTACACTTTTTAAAAAAGATAACTGTTCAGGGCATATGAATGCTGCTCTTAGAAAAAAAAAAATCTTTCTTAAAAATGTCAAAGGTTCACTTGAGTCCCAATGGCCTATTGGGCCGGCATAAGGGAAGCATATGTTTCTGGACAGCCTGGCGCTCAAAGGAGTCATAGAAAGCATCATTGTCCAGAAACATCTAAAAGGTTTTCTAAATTAAATAATTAATTTCCTTTGACTGACATTCTAATTGTGCTACCAGCACTTTTCTTCTTCCTGTGTCTATTCTGGAAGAACGCAAAGCCTTGCATTTGTTATAAGTAGTGGATTTTTGTTCAGACTGAGCCAAGGTGAGCTAAGAGACCTAGTTAGCTGTGTTAGTCTGAAGTCAAGTAGTCAGTGTCTGCTGAAGTGAGCTTCAGCTCGCAAAACCTTGTGCTATGTTTGTAGGTATGTATATGTACACACAAACACACACACTTTGGTTAGTCTATAAGGTATAAATCTACCCTGCCTTCTACCTGAATTAGCTAAGCCAAATCTAAATGTGACCTCTTTTCTAGTCATAGAATCACAGAAAATGAGGGTGGGAAGGGACCTCAGGAGGTTACATCTAGTCCAACCCCCTGCTCAAAGCAAGACCAACCCCAACATCCCAGCCAAGGCTTTCTCTACCTGGATCTTAAAAACATCCAAGTATGGACACTCCAAAACCTCTCTGGGTAACCTGTCCCAGTGCTTTATTACCCTCCTAGTGAGGAAGTCTTTTCTAATATGTAACCTCAACTTCCCTTGCTGCAACTTGAGACCATTGCACCTTGTTCTGTCATCTGCCACCACTAAAAATAGCTCAGCTCCATCCTCTTTGGAGTCCCCCTTCAGGTAGTTGAAGGCTGCTATCAAATCCCTTCTCAGTCTTCTCTTCTTCAGACTAAATAAGCCCAGTTCCCCCAACCTCTCCTCAGAAGTCATGTACCCAGCCCCATAACCATTTTTGTTGCCCTCTGCTGGATTGTCTCCAAGAGAAGGCTTCACACTTGTTATTCTTCTCTAATCCCTCCATACAGTCAGGGCCTATATTGTCCTTTCCTCCTTCTCAGGAACTCACTGGGGCTCTGATCATTGAAACAGGCTGCCCAGAGTCAGTTTTGATGATAGTTGCAAGCTGCCTGTGCAGACCTGGCCTGGCTGGATGGCATGTTTCTCTCTGCATCCGGGCATTGGGATCTGCCGGTCATGACAGACGATACCTTATGCTGAGCTGAGCAGCCTCAGAATTATTTGCTGCAATGACTCCATGCATTCCTCTCTTTATTTGTTTGCATACTTATTTTCTGCTAATTTAATTTAGATTTAAATCTTAATGGCATAAATGATTCTTAAATTATGCTGTATATTTGGAAGGCTGCCGTGGGCAATATCACTCATCTGGGATGTTATGAGGCTTCCTCAGAACAAAGGCCTTCAAAGGTTTCTATCATGATTACTATGTTACACATGCAAAGTGCTATACTATAATAATATTAATAATACTTTGTGGGAGCAAAACAACTATTAGTGAGTAATGGTTACAATTTAAAAGCATGTATGATAAAGTTGGATATGACATTTTCCTAAGCTCACCATTTACCCCCTGGGGGTTCAGGATTCTTTTATTTTCTTTAAAAAGTCAATATGCATTTTATTCATTAAATGGATTTTTAAAAGTTAGGGGACATATCACGAAGTTGTGTAAGTCCATGTGGCTCCATTGCCCTGCTCTAATTAAGCCAGCAGCTGATTTGACCTTGTATTTCACAAAATATATTTTTCGGCACCTGTTGATGATAATCTTTTCTTTCTACTGCTTTTTTCTTTCTACTGAACTTGCTCTTTAGACGTGACTGTTGATATATTTAAGCCTCCAGCTTGAGATTTCTATGTCTTTCACTAAGATGCCTAGAGAACTGAAGTAAAGATACTCAAAAAAGACTAAAGAGTCCAGCAGTCCCACTTGAGAAGTTTTGGGCTCAGAAGTCCTAGCTCCAGATCGTTGGTCACATGCACATCAAAGTGCGGAGACGGAGGACTTACAGCAAACCTTTTACAGTGTGTCAAAGCTGGGCATGAAAAAAGGCTGGAGGCTTGAAAATGTGAGTGACCTTGTGCTTTGATGCACTCCTGGAGACATCTTTTGCACATTAGTAACCTTTCTCTTCTTCAGTCTACTCATTTATTACATGGGGTATTAAATGCTAACTCTTGGAGGGTATCAAGCTATTCATTTGTATTTTTTTTCCTTTAGAGCTTCACTAATATAATAGTGGCTAAGTATCTACCACCTTGATATCTCTGATGCGTTGGGTACTGACCATCCTGGAGAAAGGATACAGGACCTGATGAACAGATCCAAGAAGGCATGGAGACTCTACTTTATAGAGACTTCAGTTAGTTCAACTTCCCAAGAAAGCCATCTTTTGTGGGTTATCAACAGGGCACTGCCTTCAAGATGTTAAGTCTTCATAAAACACTGCACTATTTTGCCCACTTCTACCTTTCACCATAGCCCAGAAGCAGACTGACAGTATCTGGCCTGCAGATTTCCTGTTCTGTGGTTGCCCATGGTTTTTGGGTCAAAAGCTTTGATTTATGGGACTGACGGTCCCTTCAGAACTCAATATGTGATGATCATATGGTGACATCCATCCTGCAGGAGACAGCCTGGGCACCCCTTCCATTCCACTTCAAAGACATAAGTGGTGCATAAATCCCTGGTCCTTAGCCAGGAGTGAAGACTGCACTGATCTGAAACCAATTCAGATCACTGGAAAGATACTTCTAGGTTTCTACCAGCCCACCCTGCATAGTTCAGGCTGAGGATATGAAGTATGAAAAAGCTTCCTACCAGCATAGATGTTACCAGGGTAGATTTCCCATTTCCCCCATTAGATACAGGTCTGCATTTAAAGTGCTAAAATAAAATTAGTGCTATGAAACCTGACTATGAGCTTTTGTTCAATCAAATTATTCAAAGAACTGATGATGAAGGTGGTTTCATTCCCATTGCAACTCCTCCAAAGTCACCCAAACAATGCAAATTATTAATATGGATTTGAGATGAAAGGAAAGTGCAGGGTTATACGTGCATATGTTGTCTGCAGGGCTCAGAATTATCTAGCAATCACAATGAGCAAAAAAGGCTTACACCAATGGAAGGAATAGCACCTGCAGCAAAGTCTGTTTTGTAACAAAATAAAATAATCATTTACAAAGATGCCTTGAATCCCTCAGGCAGTTTGGGGAACTGTATAAAAGAGCGAGCAACTGAATGCTCTTCAACTACTTCTCTTCTCTTGACTTCGCCTTCCTAGAGAACTGGGTAAGATCCATTTGACTCCTCTTTATAACTGCTGAACTGTCACTCCAGGGGGAGTTTTTTTCCTCATCCTATACAAATACTGTTCTCGTTATTAAGAATCCTTCTGCAATGAGTCTGTTGCAGTAGGAGGCTTTCAAAGTTAAGATTTGGACTTCCAAAGTCATGTAAGAGTTATTCTTAACTGGGCATAGGATGTTCAGATTCCTTGGCTAGCTTTGAAGAGTCTCACCTTAAAAGTACTTTGATGCAGGAGACTATTCTTTGAAGCTATTTTCAGAATATGTAGAGTGTCCAAATCCTCAACTGATTTGGACAGAGAAGACTTCAATGCTGCTTTGCACCAGCTGGGAGATTTCATGCATGCAATGATGGAAATTGGCTTTCATACAAACCACTGCTTTTCTGTTCTTTATTCATATGATACCACTGTCAGACACATATCTTCAGCTGGTTTCAGTCAGTGTAGCCTGGCAGCTGTCACTGGAAACCATTCCAACCGCAGGGAATCTAGGCATTTCTTTGACCAGGAGAGACTCTAAGGAAGGGATTGCTATTGCTAACATTGCACCACCACTAATCCAGGCTGTAAACTTTTGGCAGAGTCTAGATCAAAGCCCCAATTTGGGTTTGTCATATAACCAATGCAATGGGGACCTGTTCTTATTCAGGGGTTCTTAGTGATACAGTAATTCAGTGTATAGCCAGTAAACCTAACACGAGTGAAAGGTTCAATCCAAGCTCTTCCACTGGCTCCTGAAGTGACCAAGTATGGGCCTTCCTTTCTCTGCTTCAGCTGCCCTTTGTATGAACCAAGGACAACAGTTGCCTATTTTTACACTATATTTGTTAGTGCAGAGACTTCTACAATGCTAAGTTTCCATGTAAGTGCTCTGGACAATTTTATCTATGTTTCAAGACACAAAAAGGAGGAATAAGGTGGGGTGTGTTTAATGGGCAGTCTATTATTGTTCTTTCTGTCTGTCCAAAGAGAGCAATATCTCCATCAACGTCCCTGAGAACGTTACCCTACTGTCATGCTTAGCTTTGAGCTTCCCAGTTATGCACATAGGACTAAATGAACACAAAAAATGACTGAGTTTCACCCTTAACTGGGTTCAGTTTTTGCACTGCCGTTTCTACTGGAGGATGTTCCAGCACTTCTCTGCTCTCACGGTTCCTCTTCTTCCTTTGGTTTCTTTTAGGCTTATCTCCATTGCAGCACGATGACTTCAACCGGGGCCCTGTGCTGTTACCCGCCCCGTCCCTCATGTGATGTGGTGTGCCCGCGGCCATATGCTGATGCCTGGAACGAGCCCTGTGTGAAATCCTGCGGTGACTCCAGAGCTGTGGTCCACCCACCCCCAGTTGTTGTCACCTTTCCAGGACCCATCCTCGCCTCCTGCCCTCAAGAGAGCTACGTGGGAACCTCTTTACCAGAAGTCAATGGCGGCTCATTTGGTTCTGGGAGCTCCTTTGGTGCTGGATTTGGTTACAGAGGCAATCTGGGCTCTAGAGGCTATCTGGGTTATGGAGGGGGGTCCCTGGGTTATGGAGGGGGGTCTCTGGGATATGGAGGGGGATCTCTGGGTTATGGAGGGGGATCTCTGGGTTATGGAAGCTATCTTGGTTCTGGAGGGTCTCTGGGTTATGAAGGCCCTTTCTGTGGTTTGGGGGGCCCTATCTGTGGTTACGGCTCATACGGTGGGTCATACGGTTCTGGATTGTCATCATATGGTGGTGGATATTCATCGCCTTACTATTCCCGCCGGTACAGTAAGTACCGCTATGGAAGCTGTGGAACATTTTAAACCCAGCAAGAACATCCATGGCACAGAGAATAATCAGGAAACGGAAAACAAGGCACAGATTCATGAACAAACGGTGGGGCCTGGCTTTTAGAAGTGCTGAGCATCCCCTGTTCCTACTGAAGTCAGAGGAGCAGTAAATGCCAAGCACCTCTGAAAAAAACAGGCCCTAAAATAGAGCTGGGCAAATATTGGATAGTTTAGGGTTGCTAAATTTTGCTTAAGTGTTTTCAGTCTTTTAATTTTGGTCACTTTTTAAATAGGAGCACCAAAAACACACAAAAAACCAACAAAATCAAAGCAAAAAGTCAAGCAACTTCATTAGACAAATAATGAACGCTCTAATGTTTTGGTGGTTCTGAAATGAAATTCTTCCTTTAAAAACATCAAAGCCCTTTAGCATTTGTTTTACAGCCAAAATGATTCGCTGAATTCAACCCAAAGCAACAGTTTTGCATTCCCTGTATATTTTAGCAAAATTAATTTTCAGCTAAATTTTGCCCAGCTCTACCTTTAAATATATTTTGCATGTCACAGTTTAGATCCATGACAACTTCTGCTTATTTTTTCCAGCTATATACTTTTCCCGTTATAAATTAAATGGGTCAGAATTTCAACTACGCTAATCATTGCCCTCTGCGTTGCCAGTGTAGTTTAACGGGGCTTTACTGTTTATGAGACTAAGTCCACTTTTGTTCCAGTGTTTCTAGGAATATGTACCAGCAGCTTGTGGCAGCATTGCTGAAGAACATGTATAATGGAGAAGCTGCTTAGTACTTGCTTTCTCTGCTATGATTTGGCCTATTGAAAAACCATCTGGGATTAAATAAGTACTTTGTTAAGGGGCAGGGAAGGGATGCGATGATCAAACTCTGCAAAGAACTGCAACAAAGAAAGCAGAATGTCTTGTGAGAAATGTGTTGCCTTTAGTCTTTGAAGCTCTGGAAATATTCTTTATTTTTGTATTACTGTGCTCTAAAACTGTAGACTCCACTTCTTGTTCGCATTAAAAATTATGCTGCAATGTAATATCAGTCTTCTGGTTTTCCCTTCTACGCAACAGCTAAATGAGAAGCCTCTCTGTGGGAAATAATTCCCTTGGCCAAGGCCAAGCATGTGGGTTGTGCCTTACCCAAGTGCTACTCAAGCCCTTTAATGAAAGGGGACTCTGGTGCCTTCTATGGGTTGATAGCACTATGGAGGCCCTCTAAGAGGCCTGTGTTAGCTACTTTTCAGTGGTGATGCTATTGAGTAGGAAGATGACTGCTCAGTCTGGGGCATGCATGTGGTTAGCATGGGTTACATCTTAGCTCTTCCCTCAGTGGGAAGTCCGTACACTTTCCTTACTTTTTAACAAACTCTGGACAAAACTCCCTTGTGAGCAGGCAGCCAGCACTAATCTTCCTACTCAATCCCCATAGTTGGGATTTACTATTTAAATTATACGATTTAAATTATAATAAGAACCAGATTTGCACCACTAAAAGACACCTGCTGCCAAGCCCTTCCTGATTATGCAGTTCAAGTTTCCCAGACTTGTTATTAGACCCTTCCAAATGCAGAGGGTGGGAAACATTAACTCTAAATAGCTAATGTGAGGCTCATGTCTGGAGGAGAAGACTCGCTTTCCTAGGATCAGGAGCTCTGTTCCAACAAACAGGATTTTGTTTGCTCTGAGCTTCCCCGGCTGAATATCCTGTGCCCTACGTAGGGGGAAAGGCATGGGAGGAAAATTTGAAGATAAGCAGCAGTAACAGCAGAGCAGAGCATTAACCATGCATGAGCTTGACTCATCTGCCAAAGCCAAGCTGAATCACTGATTTGCAACTAGGAGCTGCTCAACAAAGTAGCACCTGGTGGAGCTGTTTGTCAGAATTTGAGCAGAGAGCGGTGGCGAGCCGTGTTCATCTGAGATCAGGCAGGAAGCACGATAGAGTTGCACAATATAGACTAAGTCAAGCAGAGAGCTGTGCATGGATGAGCTTGCTCATAGTGAGGTTGACTGGACCAGGGGATGCAATTTCCAGGGCAAGAGGGAGTGATAAGTGCATGGACAAAGCACTTTAAACCACTTGAAAAGGGAAAGAGGGAGCTGGCTCCCGGGAGTGAACATCACCTGTTGTGATCTGTCACATCTGTACAACCCTAAATTGGTCGGTGACCCTGAATGAAACAGGGTGAAAATTGCAGTGGTTTGGCTATGCTTGTATCACTAGAGAATCATGCTGACCCAACACTGACAGCTAATATCATACCCTGCAATGCTGGGGCCATTGCTACGTAGCCTGAGATTGGGAAGAGCCGATTCCAGTCTCTTTTGCATTATTTCCAAGCATGTTTTCTCTGGCCCCAAATAAAGACTCCTGGATTCTTGGTTCCCAAAGGATTTGAGTGCTGGAAAAGAAAAGCTGCCATCTGCCAAAAGTGATTGAGGGATTTTTATTATATTACCCAGAGCAAAAGCAAGCGCACCGTTCTAGGTGGGGACACAACCTGGAGATTGGGTTATTTGTCTAGTAAGACAGCAAGAGACACAGAGTCTAGCCCTTGGTATTGCCTTGAGCACATGGCAGAAAGGTTAAATCAGGGAATATCTAACATTTATCATCCTCTGCACCATTCTGCCATCCAACTTTAATTCTGCCTCTTTGGAGAAAGCAGTAGGCAATGTGATTTTGGATATCTTCATGCTCATACGGCAGGTCATACAGTTCTGGATTGTCATCACATGGTGCTGGATGCTCACTGACTTTCAAACCAGTCCTGCTGTTGCAGTGAGCCCCAGGATGTGACGTGTAGGCAACAAGGGAAGGTAGTGAATTTATCAAAGCCACAGCAATTTACACTAGTTGATAATCTGATCCTACTAATCATTTAAAAGGAGAGAAATCAGCATCTGGATGCAAGTCCCTAAGTGCAACTCTAGTGTCATTTCCGATATAATTCATATAGAGAAATGAAAGCCCCAGTTTGGAAAGGTCAGATATAAATTCTCCTTCCCGAGGTCTAAAACAGGGGGGCGAGGAGGAAATTCAGGGTAGTTTATTTAAAAAACGTACCACATTAGTGTGCCCAAACTTTCCCCGTGAAATACCTGGAACTGGATGCTATCAAAGTGACACAGGGCAGAAATGATCATTGCTCTGATGCAATGCATTAATTAATTAATTAATTAAGCCCCATCCTTGGGGGTTTTCAAAACCTGGCTAGATAAAGCTGTGTCTGGGATGATGTAGTTGGGGCTGGTCCTGCTTTGAGCAGGGGGTTGGACTAAATGACCTCTTGAGGTCCCGTCCAACCCTAATCTTCTATGATTCTACAATTCTAACTCCTACTTTATAAGTATACAGCTGATAAACAGGTATCCACAGCCCCAGTTCACATATGTTATTGTGGATCCAAGGCAATGAGTGAGTGTACCGCCCCAAGGGAGACAATTGAAAGTTCCCAAAGGATTAATGCATCAACAGATACCATCAATGTACAGAAGCAGCTGACATGCTCTGATGCATTCTGAACGAGGAAAACATGTGTTAACAACCTTGTCCCTGCCCTGCTCTGTGTTATAATTTTCTAAACCAGCATGAAGCGCCAGAGGTCCGTAACAAAATGCTCACTATTTATTTACTGGAGCCAGTGCATGTGACCCATCCCTGTTCCTGAATCTTCATCCTTCCATGGGTTTTATAGGAACAGTTCTGAGAAACTCGAGTATGGAAAAGAAAGTGGGGGAAAAAAACAAGCATACAAAAAAAAATTCGATTCAGCAGAGAGAAATGAGCCAGGAAGAGGAATGTGGAGAAAATGAGCAGTTTTGTGGTTAAAGGATTGAATTGGAAGTGTACAAATACTTCCTGAGTCCTAAAGGTCATCTGCAAAGCTGGTCCCCAAAGCCTTGCCAAGCTCAGGCAGGTGACGTTGATACCAGCTATGCACTGGGGTATCAGTAGCCTACCCATAATCCTATAAGCTTCTCTTCCTCCCACTATCGGTCAGACCTGTTTATTTGGTGTCACAGTTCTTCAGGGCACAGACAGTCTGATTTCATGTTTGCACAGCGTCTGGCAAAACGGAAAGCCAATCTCCGTTGTGGAAGATAAGCAATTATGGAATAGTAATTGCAGATAATAACCCTAATGAGAACTAGGCGTGCCCGGGATCTCCTTCCAGCTGTTTCACTAAAATACCCAAGGCTATTTGGAAAATGAGTGATCATCTGTGTCGCCATTATTCCTTCTACAAATCAGGAAAAGTTGCCCAATTCATGTAGGTGTAACAGAACAGTAAAATGAAGGAAGTTAGGGGTTTCATTGGCTAGTAGATAAAAATATTTTTTCTGATTTACAAAACCCTAGGAAAAAAGGCTAACCTCAAACAACAGCAGGAGGGAGGGAGAGTGGAAGGGCTGGGGGCAGCATAGTCACGAACAACAGCAGTGACCTGCAGGAAAGGCATCCATGAAAACTTTGTTGATGAAGTGAGTGTCATGGGCAGGACCTAGAGAAATGGGGAGATCGGGTGGGGTCAGAATAAAGAAGATTAGAGTTAGAGGGGGATTTGGGGTGAATGGAGAAATGAAACCAGGAGGACATGGAAGCAGAGACATAAGGGCCAAAATCCAAATTCCCTTTTGCACTGATACCCAGGTACCCACTGAGCTCCCCAATCTCCTCAGCAGCTCTCATTAGCAGAATATCTGGACCTTTTCCTTCATCCTAATGTGACCCTGCCCTCACTTTATTCCTGGTCTGAGCACAGAGGTTTACCACCATCTCAGAAAGATGCCCCAGCTGTGTAGTAACCTACAGCTGCCCTGTACATTAGATGGTTCATCTGCAAATAGGGGCTGATGCCTGCAATATGGAGAGGGGAGCTTGGGGGATTTAATTTCTCCTCCTCCTGCTCCTGCTTCCAGTTGTTACAAGAACTTCCCTTCTCTGCACCATCTATCCCCCTCCTCAGGTGGCTGAGGGTGAGATAGGTGGTCTTGCATAACCAGCCATGCTTCCTATACTTGTCCACCACTTGGACGATACTGTAGTCTCCCAGGATGCTGCGGGTGGTATTGCATGGACTGCTACAACACAGGAAATCAAGACTGGAGAAATTTTCTGCCACAGAACGCTAGCCACAACCTGAGCCCTACCTGCTCCCAGCACCAAACTCCTTGGAAATGCGCTACGACAGAAGAGCTCCTGATTACTCGATAGAGAGAACTCGTAGCGCACGGACAAAAGAGGGGAAACGGCAGTATGAGGGTTTCAAGTACCAAAGGGAAAAGAAGGCCAGGAGGCTGAGTTTGCCATGCAGCACAATCTTTAATGGGAATAAGAGGTGGCGGTAACAGGACATAATCATGCAGAGAAAGTTTTGGGAAGGGCTTTAGCCAACATCTGCTCCAAAACTCTCCGAGCTGCAGAGAGCTCAGAGCACCCTGATTTCAGCTGGACCATTGGTGCTCAGATTTTCCAAAAGCCATGCCCCTCGATGCATTCATGGTGGTCTTGATTTCCAGTCCGTGTAGTTCCCTGTGCTGTGGGTTTTCCTGCTGGGTTTAACAGGACCCGCAGTTGCCATAGCGGTACTTATTGTACCGCTGGGAATAGTAAGGGGACAGACATCCTAAGGAGCTCCCGGACCCAACAGAGCCCCTGGAGACAAAGGAGCTGCCGATCTGGAGAGGCTCCGCGGTGCCCACGTAGCTCTCCTGGGGGCAGGAGCTGAGGATGGGTCCTGGGAAGGTGACGACCACTGGGGGTGGGTAGACCACGGCTCTGGAGTCACCACAGGACGTGACGCAGGGCTCGTTCCAGGCATTGGCGTATGGCTGAGGGCAGGTCACCTCACAGGGGTTGTAGCAGCGGGAGCTGAGCAGCTGGCGGTTGAAGGACATCTTTCTGAAATGGAGCTGCACCTAGAAAAGACAAGGTAAGTGTAATGCTCAAGAGAGGGTGCAGTGAGAGCCTCAAAGGGTCTCGCATGGAAGTCTAGATGGACAGGAAGAGACAGTTTTCCATCGCAGGCATTTCTTTTCAAATTCCACTCACTCTTTCTTTGATCGCTTTAAAAAAGGATGTCAAGGCCACCTAATAGTGATGAACCTGCTTCCCACTCTGCTGCCCCATGCAGCCCCTCTCCTGAGAACAAGCACCGGTGCATGTGCTTCTAGAGAATGGAGTTGCTAAGACACAGACAGGCAGTGACTGGCTCAGGGTCACTTGGGGACTTCGAGAAAGAGCCAGAACCAAAACTGAGGAAGTCCCAGGAGTTTCAGTGTTGCTGAAAAGCAATGTGGAGAATAGGCACTCTGTGAACTCACCTTTAATAAGCCAAAAGCAGAAGTCAGTTTTGATGCACATGATCTCTATATGTGAAATAATTGAAGCCCTCCCCATCCGGTGGAGATGAAGATGCTTTCCTCAAGTCAGCTCAGAAATGAGCTCTATAGCTTTCCTTTATGATATCCAATTGTATTTGAGATAAGGTTGTTTTTTTTAGGAGAAGGCTTTGGTACATATGTGGAAGCTTTCAATATTTTGCATTATCTATGTCCAGTTCATTTTAATAGGACCTAACAATCCTAAACCCACAGGTAGATCTGGAAATCCAACCCTTAACTTCTACAACCTGCTCCCATCAATGCCTGGGGGTGAAAATGGCTAAAATGATCTCCTATGAAAACAGTCTGTGTTCAACAACAGAACAAGTCCCAAAGTATCAATGCAAAGCTCAGTTTTGAAGCTTCTACAGCAACATTTTACAAAGTTGAATAATAGAGATTTAAAGAAGACTTACTTGGTTCAGCCAGGAAGAGAAATGCCGGAGAGTGATTAGAAGAGCTCTGAGCTGCAAGTGCTTTTATATGTTTCCTTGGACTGCCTGGAGCCACTGAGACATCCTTTATGTGTGTGGGCCTTTCATCAGATGAGAAAAAATGTCCTGCATGTGTCACTCCGCAAGCTGGGGTGAGTTTTGCATGCTGTTTTGATTACTGAGCAATTTGCAGACACAAGGGATGTGGCATGAATATGACAAAGTCAGTAGGAGGCTTTCAACTGAAACCTGTTCTGGCCAGTTCATCCCCAGTATCATTCCCCTGCCTTCATCAGTGTTACAGTAGCAAGGAGTCGAATTCTTGGTTAATTATTTTAAAAACTGATTCAACACAGAATAGTCGCATCATTAAGGAGAAGTCTAGGCCTCTCTTCCTCCAAAGACTCGTGTCCCTTTGTTGTACGCAGGTGTGTTGCACTTTGAGGTTACGTGAGTTTCCTCACCTCATTTGAGTTCAGTGCCACTATAAATCCTTGCTGTATTAGACCCCATGTTATTGCAGGTAAGAACAAACTTGCTGCCAAATCTCTCAGGAAGAAAGAGTTAGGGTCCCTATTCCTGCTTCATAGCTTTCCTGAGTGCGACAGCTGCTAAGCATTAGTTTCTGAGCCCCTCGATCCTTCCTGTGGTTCTTTCCACCGTGTTCCCTTTTTCCCCGTGTTGACACGAGAGCTTGCAGTTGGAGAAAATGTCGCCAGGGAAATTTTATTATTTTTTCCTAGAGAGATATTGAAATACTAGCAAATTGCCTGTCAAGAATGAAGGGGGGGACAGAGGGCAGGCAGGGACAGAGGCCCATGTCCAGGTCACCCCTCCCAACCCTACTGCTTTGGGGCTGGACATGCTGCACCCCCTCCCCACCCACCGCTTTGGGACCAGGGCCGGGCCCACTTGCCCCACGCCTCTTTGAAATGATGGGTGGGGACAGAGCACTGCCACCCAGCATCCTGCACCACCACCACTGCCTCCCAATAGCAGGGGGATTGGAGGAAAGCTTGCCCTGCTATCCCCTCCATCCCCCTTGGCCAGCACCCTGTATCGCCACCGCCACCCCCTGGTCCATCCCCTCTGTCCTGCTGTCATGGTGCCGCGCTGCTGCCACCACCTCCTGGCCAAATGATCTTGGAGTACTCTGATTGGCTGCTAAGACAACCAGTCAGAGCGTGAATAAAGCGTTATGGACAGACAAACATGCAGATTAAGGCTGATAGATAGATAGATAGATAGATAGATAGATAGATAGATAGATAGATAATTCTTTTCTTGATTTATTGCACGATTTATAGATTTAGACTTAAATCTGTAGCTCAGTTATCTGCCAAGTAGGCACCTAGGTGCTGCCATTAGTGCCTGTCAGAAGCAATAAATCAATTGATGGGGATTGGAGGTATGATCTCCTGTATCCCACTGCATCCCAGCTTGAGTGGTGCCACTAGATATATGGTAATAGGCAATGTCCACAGACCAAAACAGTGTCCTCAGCACACCTTCAGCTCACCCATCAAGCTACGCAGCATTACGGATCTAGGAAAGACTTGCAGGGGGGAGCGGTGCCATCACTGCCTTCCCCAGAGGCAGATATCCCAGTAGAGATACCTGCAGGTAAAAGTCTATACGTGCACTTCCTTGTATCCTAGCAATCCTTTCCAAATTCCTCTGGACCCCCCTACACCACATCTCTCCTGGCATTCACAGGGTGCCACACACGCACCTGATGAAATGTTTTTCATAAAATCAGATATTCTAAGTGTTTCGTGGAAAAATGAAACATCCCGAGATGACAGCATGGACAAGTGTTACTGCTGTATTTGTGTAGTTGGGTGTTCCCCTTTGGCCCCTCTGGACCTGCCCAGCAAAATTACCTGGGGCAGACCATTTGCATTTCTGAGGCTGCTGTGATGTGTTGTCCGTGATTCATGGGGATTCACTCTGGCTTTACTGGTGCCAGAGCTGCTGGTCCAGTTTGGTGCCTTCCTGGTGTCAATGATTCAGCTCCTGTTCCAACCAAGCATTGCTTGACAGACTCGTGCGCCCAGGGTTGTGAAACCTTCAGAAGTCAGAATCGACACCCTGAAATGAAGCAAAACATGGGGAAGACCTATAGGGCCTGTTTCTCTCTTTGCCAAATACAATCCCAGCTCCCAGTGCCTACAGCACCACTTGGCAGCACTCAGCGCTTCTCCAAGCCAATGCTTGTCAGCTCATTCAGGATCATGGATCTTGCTATTGAGTTTTATAGCCCAGTAAAGATTATAACTTCTCCCTCTAAGAGGTAAAAAGTAGCTTCCCTTTTCATTGCCATTACTTTTTACGAAATGCGTGTGAACTAGGTAATCATTATGGGTAGTCAGTAAGTCTGACTTATAAAAGGATAATTGAGACATGTGCTGAGGTATTTCTGTAACATCACTCGCTGATTCAAGGGAAGAATTGACTAAGGAACATGAGCACTGTTTTGTTGGTGGCATTATTAATCATTAGATAGTGTGACTTACATCTGTGCTTGGTGGTCTGGGCACTGTAGAGATGCAGAACAACAAACCAGCTCTATCCTATGGGACCAACCTGAACTAAACATGAAGGTGTATCCAGCAGTGGGAGGAAGAATTGCTATCTGTGTTGTACACAAGACAGGCTGATGCAGGGGGTTTCAAAAACTATCAATAAACGAAGATCCATTCAGTAATGAGCTCTTGTAAGAAGCTGCCCCCATGAGATGTCCCAGGATAAGCTGTGGTAGGGGCCAAAAGTGAACAGGAGCTTCCTGTGTCCAGTCCCGTGCTTTAGCCACCCAACCAGCTGTTGTCTCCAAGAAGCTGTCTGGAGCTGAGCGCCTTGTGCTGAACTGTGATGTCTAATATGTTCTTTACTCTTTTCTGCTATTTTCTTGCCTGTTTTCCATAACACAGCTGCCTAGAATTGCCCTGATAAAACATAGAGGAATGAGTGTATGTTCCCATCCATCAGCTATAGGATAATGGTGTGCAAGTATCAACCTGACTATTCTGAGTAAGTGATCTATCTTGGACATGCCCTCGCATGTCAAAATGGAAATCCACACCCTCTTTTTTAGTTCCTTTTTAATGTGCACGCACACACACACGCACACACACACACACACACACACAAACACACACACACACACATACATGTTACTTTATTTATATATCTATTTCTTTTTGAACACCAGTGAAGTCAGAGGAATGATACCAGGGATTAATTTGGTCCAGATCTTTAGACTTCAAGGACACCTGCAAGCTGCTCCCTGTGTGTCATGCCATTCTGAACTGAGACATTGCCTGATAATTGGAACCAGTATGCAAAGCACCTGTGGAGGTATGACATGGCCGGGAAATATTATTTTGCAACCAATAATGGCCACATGCCCTGTGATCCAAACAGGCTAATGAACTGTATAAAAGTGCTCACCACCAGCACTGCTCCATGCACTTCTCTGGAATTCTCCTCCTTGGTGAACTGAGTAAGTCTCACTTCTCTCTGTTATTTTTTATCTGCTAAAATCTCTCTCTCATTGAGCTTAAACTCTCAGATACTTTGTGAGTCCCTGTACTGTTGCCAGGAAGCCAGGGTTTGGTTGTGAGCATTTGTGAAGACAGGCTTTAGAAGAGTGGATCTAAACCTTTTTTAGACACAGGCTCCCCTTGTTAGACTTGAGACACCCTAGATTTCAAACATCATCCTATATGTGCTTTAGATGTACTTTTCTGCTGTCTCTTTGATCCTTATATTAACGCCACTTGACCTTGGGTGTTTCAGGTGCAGCTCCATTGCAGGAAGATGTCCTTCAACCACCAGCTGCTCAGCTCCCGCTGCTACAACCCCTGTGAGGTGACCTGCCCTCAGCCATACGCCAATGCCTGGAACGAGCCCTGCGTCACGTCCTGCGGTGACTCCAGAGCTGTGGTCTACCCACCCCCAGTGGTCGTCACCTTCCCAGGACCCATCCTCAGCTCCTGCCCCCAGGAGAGCTACGTGGGCACCTCAGAGCCACTCCAGATTGGCAGCTCCTTTGTCTCCAGGGGCTCTGTTGGGTCCGGGAGCTCCTTAGGATGCCTGTCCCCTTACTATTCCCAGCGGTACAATAAGTACCGCTATGACAACTGCGGGTCCTGTTAGACCCAGCAGAAAAACCCACGGCACAGGGAACAGCATGGGAGTGGAAACCAAGGCCACCATGAATGCATCAAGGAGCATGACTTTCAGAAGATCTGAGCATCAGTGTTCCAGCTGAAACCAGGGAGAGCTGTAGGTCCTCAACACCTTTGAACAAAGAGACCCAGAATAGTTTCCATATTTGCATTAGATGTATAACACTGTGCAGTCATTCTGCCCTATGTGCAGCCTTTTCGGAAAGAAATGATGTCGGTTTCTAGTTATTAAAAACGACCACATCAGAAATGTATTGGAAACATTGCTTTGTCCCTCTCTGTAGACTGTTCTTCTCCAATTTCATAGTGTCTGGAAGAATCTGAAATAATCTTATAAAGGGCTAAAAACAGGACTTGCTCATCAAAGTCTGCAGCTGCAACTAGGACAAGAGCCCCTATAGTGAAATTCTGCCCATTTTGGGGTGGGCAAGTGATTTTGGCCCTTCTCCAAACTTTGGAAGCAAATTCTTTATTTTCTGTATGTGCTCTGAGCTCCATTTCTTGTTCCCAATAAAGATTGTGCTGCATCCTAATCCAGACTTCTGGTTTCACTTTCTCCTCCACTTCTGAATTCAAAATCACTCCAAATTAAATTATCCCCTTGTGAGAGGGACCAGAATGTTGTACAACTAATGCCCTACTCAGGACCATTAAGAACATGAATCTGGCCCCTTATTTGGCCTATAACAGCCTGCAGGTTCTTCACTACAGGAGTGATTTTCACATGTGTCTCACTGTTTGGGAATGATTCTTTGCATAGGGATGTACAGCCTCATTGTCGCTGTCACCTCTTCCAGCTGACATTGCACTAGAGTGGTGGAGAAGAAAGGTCTGTAA